AGTTGGATCACTTAGAGTAAGGCAAAACCCTCACTGGAACCGGCAAGGCCCTGCAAGGAAGCTCCTGGTTACTCCTTGACCATCTCTTACTATTCTCCACCTCTTTACTCTTCCAGCCACACTGGCATCCTGGCCAGGCACTGTCTCACCTCAGGGACTTTGCACATGCAGTTCTGGCTGTCTTAAATGCTCTTGCCCAAGAGGTATGCATGCTTTCTCCTTACTCCTTTGATTCTTAATATCGCCATCTCAGAAAAGCCTTCCCTAATCACCCTATCCTTCCTCTTACATTTCTTGCTTTTTTCCCCCCCTTAGCACTTATAATTATGTAACATACTATAAATTTTACTTACCTTGTTTATTGTCTTTTCTTATTATCTAATTTTACTTATCTTATTGCCCAAACTAGAATATAAGTACCATGTGGATGGGGATGTTTGTCTGTTTTGTTCACTGCTGTAGCTCAGAACCTAGGGCAGGTCTAGTGCATAGTACAATGTATTCAACAAATAATTGTTGAATGACTAATGGAAAGAATGAGTGAGGCACAGCTCCTCCCCAACAACAACAGTAGAGCTCCCAAACTGAAATGGGCCAATCCATTAAGTATCTAGAGGTAGCACATGAAGAGAGCACTACCAGAATAATTGAGATCTGAAGCATATGGAGGGGAACATAGCCTCTTGTTGAGCTTGATTTTGAAGGAGACAAGGTAAAGAATTGGTGGAGAAAGAGGAGAATGGAATTCCAAGTGAAGGAAATCTCAGAATTTTCTCAGGAAAAATCAGACTCCAAAATTCACTTATTCATTCAACTGGGAATACAGCAAGGAACAAGCCAGAAAAAAAGTCCCTGCCCCAGGGAACTTACATTCTAGTGGTAATAATGTCAGGCATTGTGATCTTGGACACAAACATCTGCTTATTGGAATGGTGAGATGGGAAGGCCTTAAATTTCTGAAGGGCTGAGAGGCCAGGTAGACCAGTGTGGCTTTCATCTGGCAAGCAGTAGCAAGCTGCCTTAGATTCTTGATCAGAAGGAACCCTGGGAATGTCACTTATGGAAGATTTCTGCAGCCACATGACAGATGAATTCTGATAGGGAAGGGAATTAGAAAGGGTGGGAGATACCAGAAGGAGCTGTTATAGAAGAGGTGGAGGTGATTGGAACAGGGGTGCATTTCATCATAAAAGAGAAAGGATAAAAGCAACTGAGAAAGGATCTTAAAGCCCCTGGATGTGAGAACAATCTAAATATGTGTCACCAAGAAGAAATCCCTGATGGAGAGGAAAGAAGATGGCAGAGATGGTGCAGACTTTGACTCTGGGAGTTAGGGGAATGTTGAGGCCAGATTAGGACCCCTGAGCTTCAGTGATTATTCCATGACTGAGCTGTGTAAACACAGGAAGGACCACAGCACTCCACTGATGTTTACTTGCCAGTGCTTGTCTATATTGGCTGTTTTGTTTTCTATATAACAAGCCAAGCTTAGTCTGGATGTGACCCATCAGAAATTGGAAACAGTTTGAATCTGGTGAGTCACACTGATCTGCAGAGCACAACTTTTGTTGTTTTTTGCCTGAAACCCACCACATCTGCCAACACCGCAAATCTTTTTATTAATGGGGTAAATTTTAAGATATTACATCTTTGGTATCATGAAGTAGAGATGCTGGGATTTCTCTGTTCAGCAGAATTTTAACTAAGGACAAAATTATTTTTGATCTTTATTTTAATAGGATGCTAATTGTGGATGTCGCGATGGCTGTTTCTGTAAGAATCAAAAAGAATCAGGGTATTTTTTTTTTGTCTCTGATATAACAATTGGCTTGAAATCAGTGTTTTCTCAAAGCTTAGGTTTCCTTCCATTTTGTTTCTCTGTCAAGTGAAGAGCTAAAGTTTCTACGTGGCTCTCTCACCTTAAACAGAAAAAACGTTCTCACTTATCATATGAAAGGAAGAAAATGGGAGCCAAGTGGCAGTCTTGAATTCTCCAGTATACTGAGACAATTCAAAGGAAAACAAACCAACACTTTGCCGTTATATATTTTTGGTAAAAATGTTTCTTGAAATTGTTTTCTGAAATGCAATTTCACGTTGTACAAAAGAAACCACATTTCTGTTATCCACAAGGCAAGTGAGGGGCTTTTCAAGGGGAAGACAGTCATTGTGAATTTCCCATAACAGAACTTGACTGTAGCAGTCAGAGCATCTGAAAGAGCTCTGGGGGCCTGAGAAGAGGGGGCAGTTACCGAAGTGGTTTCCTGTTTATTAGCACACTCCGGCTAAGCCCACCTGGACTCCCACATCTAGTACCACTTGCTAAGAAGAGTCTGGCTTCCTGCATGTGATAACAGCTTTAGAAAACTACCTGCCACAGTCCATAGAAAACGTGATATTTTAATTACTCCTCTCTGGGTAATCTAGTTGGTTACATGAGAAACAAACTTAGCTATTATTTTTTTGGTAATAAAGCTTTTGAAAATTGTGTATGAAAAATTCCTAGACTTTCTCTCTGATCTTTCTTTTTCTCATTATATTTTTAATAAGACAAATATGATGAAAGGCTTGAATATATTCTAATAATATGGATATCATTGCAAAAGTGGAAACTGGGCAAATGTGGAAAAGTACACTTCCAACTATTCAGGGATAATAATGTGTTAGTAAATATTCCTTATTTATTATTCATTAGGAAAAGGAATAAACAATGAGAGTCACATCGAGCTGTTTCCTACCTCAGGTCTCTTGCAGTTGCTGTTCCCTCTTCTTGGGAAGTTCTTACTTCTTCTCATAGCTGGTGTTTTCTCATCATCCAGGTCTTAGCTCAAATGTCACCTTCCCGGAAAGGATTTTCTGACCCTCAATTGAATCCCTCCACCGCAATCTGCTGCAAGTCACCGTACATCATTCCTTGGTTTTAATTTCTTCTTAGCACTTATTATGACCTGAAGTCACTTATTTACGTACTTCTTTTATAGTTTATCTATCTCCCCAACTAGATTGTGAACTCCAAAGAGCAGGGACCTTGTTGGTCTTTGTCATTGGATACTAAGATTAGTGCCCAAATAGATATGGAAGGAAAATGAGAGAGCAAAATTGTCATATTTAAGAAAACAAAAGAACTAAATAGGTAGACATTTTTGAACAGCTTGAGGGAGTAAAACATTCAGAATTCCATTATAGTAGAAACATTGCTGCAGTGTGCTGCCCTTGGGTATTATATTTGTAATTGTTCATTTAAAGCACGTGCTTGTATGAGCTGTGTTTGTCAATATCACAACCTTGGGAACCGAGACAGGTAGCACCTAGGGGGGGCTTTTTTCCAGATTGCAGAGCCCTGGCATCAAACAGGATGTTTCTGCCACACCAGTTATATCAGGATGTTTTGGCTTCAAGGTATTAAAATCCTTACTCTAACTATGTCAAAGCATATGTTTCATGGGAGGATTGGATCAAGGTTGGTTATTTTAGCAGCTCAAAATGCTATCAAGGATTAAGTTCTCTCCATCTCTCTACTCTGCCATCATTGGATGTCATCCTATCTAGGCAGGACAATGTCTGAGGAAGAAGAGAGAATGCTTCCTTTCTTTTCCTAGACTTGCCCCAGCAGACTTCCTCCAGGGTCTCATGGACCATTTTTGGCTACATACCCATTGTTGAACCAGTCACTGGTAAGGGAATGAGATTATGCAGAATAATTAGACCCTTCCCTGAGCTGGAGGTTTTAGCCCTTTCCTATGAGGTGTTTGGGCTGCTTGGGGGAGTGGCAGGCATCTGAACAAAATTGAGGTTCTTTTGGGAAGGGAAAAGGGGAGAAGAGCTGTATATTTCATCTATTGATCCTTTATTTGGAAGCAATAGATAATGGTGTTGCTAAAACTTTTTCTCCTAAGTTTTGTACTGTTTGGCCTGATTTTAACTTTAACTGGCCTGAACCAGTTAAAGACTGGTTCAAGATTCTGGAGGTTGATGCGGACTGGAGACCCATACAGTTACAATCCTCTGGATTAAGTCCAAGCTTCTGCTCAAGAGCTTGAGGATGAGCTCGCATTTCAGTGTGCAGCTGCTGCTACTGACCAAGGGGGGAAGGGGCGGGGGAGACTCAGGCTCCTCTTTCAGCTGTTTTAATCCCAGGCCCTAACCTTAGAGAAGTGCAATCTATCCTGGAGAACCCATCTCATTTCCACATGCTTCTTTATTACTTTGTCCTATCCCTCCTCCCCAAAGCCTAAGAAAAAAGCGTGGGGGTAGTTTGGGAGGTTGAGAGAGGAAGAGAGTGAGTTGTCAGAATGGAAGGAGTGGGGCAACCATTCCATTTCCTGTTCACCTCTGCTATATGCTCTGTTGTGATCAGAGTAACTTTTTCCTTTTATATAATTCTCCTCTTGGAGCTTTTTTATGTCCCATGACAGGGTGAGACTAAGAAAAGAATAGATAAGACAATGTGAATGATGACCTGAAATGGTCAAAACTCCACAGCCTCTACGCTATTACCCATTACTTAATACATAAGTGTGGTTGAAATGCAAGGGCTGTGTCTAGCCAGGAAGTGTCTTGGAGTAGTGAGACTCTGATGTCTGATGATATATTCTGAATACTTTTTAACATCTTAAACACTTTGTGGTTGATTTTAAAAATGAAGAGGGCTTTTCTTGCTTTTTGTTATTTGTTACTTGTACCTTGATAGACATACATGACCTATTAAGCAAATCGCCAACTAGGGATTCTCCCCTATCCTCAGTCCATATCTGATCACTGACCAAATCTGTCCATTCTCCTTACCACAGCCACTAACTCAGTCTTGGCCCTTATCACAGTACAGACAAATCCTTTTGTTCTTGAATTATTTCCCAGTTACTTCACAAGTGCCTCATGGATAAAGATTAACTTTTATCTATCTTTGATGTCTCCAGATAGCTAGCACAAGACCATACAGAAAGGGGGAAAATCAATGTTTGTTGATTTCTCATTATTTCCTCTTCTGCTTTTGGTTTTAGATTCTGAACTGAAGAGATTTTGTTCCAGAAATATACTGATTGTCCTTGGCTTCTCTTCTACCCTGGCTGTGATTGCTTTGATTGCTGTGGGGCTGACCCAGAACAAACCATTGCCAGAAAATGTTAAGGTAACTCAAATATCTCTGTGTGTGTGTGTGTGTGTGTGTGTGTGTGTATGAGGGATCCTGGTCAGGGCGGGGCGGGGGGCAGAGGGAGGTTATGGTAAATCAGACTATATAGGAGGAGCTGAGGTTCTGGCAGCCCAGGAGCAAGTCAATATCCGTTGGATTAGTAGAATAAAATGAAAATGTTGCTAATTCTGGAAGAGGGTGTGCCTTGAATCAGTTAGTGGTGGGAAGATAATTGTCTTGATGATTGTTCAGCAAATTAATTAAATCAATACTCTAACAGAAGCAAACACATTATTCACCACATCCAGATCTCTGTTATACTGTGCTGATATTCTACAATTTAGTATTATCTCTACTTCTTACTCATCGTTTCATTGTGGATGTGTCACAACACTGCACTCTTTGTTCTTCTTTCTCTGTTATTATTACTATCACCAAAATAATAAAATTTATTAGATAGCTCTATATAAAGCACTTTGGATGTCAAAGATTGTGGAGAAGACTTGTTCCTCATCTCCAAAATATTAAAGAAGCACCAAAATCAATTTAAAAAACCCCAGAGAACACATACATGTATCAAAAATAGTAGTTTGATATGAACTCATGGATGGACAGATTTCCTGTGGAATTTCCACATTTGAAGAGCTAGTTAATGTCATTAAAAATAATTGGGGTGATTAACTCTGCTGTGATTTATTTCTGCTTCCTTTCAAATTTATCAAAATAAAATTTCAAAGACATGAATATCTCACAAGTACATTGTAATATGGTCATTATTTTATTTAATCCATTAATTTAAAGGCGTGTGGTAAATTTAAATTTATATCATAAATACACCATTTTAAACTTCCATTGAAATTACAGTAAATAAATCTACAAGGGCCCAGAATATATCAATATGCTAATGAGCACATATGTACTGTGGGGAGTGACATATCCAGAAGTCAACTTGACCATGGAGGCCCTGGAATACACGTGCAGAAGGATATTTTCTTGTATTTGGAGATATTAAACTGTGAGCCGGGAATGACAGAAGTATATGCCAAACTTCTGAAACTTTTGCCACTCACCCAAATCACTTGCTGTATAGCAGAGGCCTGCATGTTACATTGGCTTCTGTTTGCCATACAAATTCAACTCAGTGGGTCTGTGCACAGCAGCCCCTTTGTCAGCATGGAAAGCTGATATTATCACATTGTCGATGTTTTCTTGCCTTTTAATGTTGAGTGATGTCAGCTCTCTTGGCAAAACTTCACTCAAAACTTCATTAGTTGAAGCCTAATGACATCTCAGTTTGCCAGTTCCAAAAGTACATGATTGCTTTCTTGATTTGACCTTTTTACATGTTCATTATTATGCATCATTGGAGAGGAGGACTGCCTAGGAGGCAAAATCCTGAGACTTGAGCTCTGTGTTCCCAGTGAATACTTGTGGTCGTGGATGACCTTCTCTCATTCACAGAGGTCGTCTTCAAGTCTGTTGTGATTCATGTTGTTGGGTTGGCCTGGCAAAATGCAAAAGTTCTTTGGCATTCTTTAAATAAAAGGTATGAATATTTGAAGAGCAGGCATTGGCATCTGAACTGAATATAGTAATAGGACTGGTTTATTTTCCAAAAAGATCATTTTATACATGCACACTAGCCATTTGTTGATGTTAAACACTAATTTTAATAAGATCCCTGGCATATATTGAGGGCAAAAATATTTTAGGAACTTGTCTTTGGTGATAGCTTTAAGCTATGTATGCTGTCCAATTTGATAGTTATTAGCTGCATGCAGCTCTTTCAATTTAAGTTAATTAAAATCAAATCAAATAAAAAATTTTGTCCCTCAGTTGCAATAGCCACACTTCAAGTGCTCAAGAGCCTCATGTGGCTAGTGGCTACCACATTGGGCAGTGCAGACATAAAACATTTCTATTGCTGCAGAAAGTTCTGTTGGATATTGCTGCTTTAGAGCATACTCTTTGATAGTATCTCTGAAATCATTCAAAACTGTTTGATGAATAAGGTGTATGACAAACAATTTTATAAAATCTAAAATAAGGAACAATAAATGAGACTTTTTTTCTTGTGTGGTTTATAAACTAATAACCAGGATCATCCCAAATATCACGAGCTACTAAATTGTTTTGAGTAGTTTGTTGGAATAAATGTATTTCCTTCCAAAAATGATGATTTAAAAGATAACATTTACTTGGATATTTATACCTGGTTCATTTGTTTTAAAAACACATAACATCATCTCTTTATGACCATACCTCATTCAGCAGCTCTTCATTCATTTTTTCATAAATTTATGCATCAACAATTATTTTATTAAGTGTCTGTGTCAGGCACTGGGCTATACAATTGGAAAGCCAATACAGATATGATTCAGCTTACCATCTGGAGACGTAAACACATCTAATAGATGACATAAATTATTAATTACAATTGTGATGAGTGCCACCAAATGAAAGTTTTGGAGGCCAGGGAAGTCTACCCTGAAAGAAATGACATTAACAATAATATCTGAAGGATGATTAGAAGTCAGCTGGGAAGAGATAGGGAAAGAGTATTCCAGGTGAAGGAAAGCAAGTGCAAGAATCTCATAGCAGGAGGTAGTTGGATACCTCCCAGAAATTGGTTCGCCGGCAAGACTGGGCCATGCGTTAGATAAAGATGGTGAAGGAGGTGGTGCAGGCATGGCTTTGCAAGACAGGGTGAGGATTTTGGTTTTAATCCTAGGAGCAATGGGAAGCCAGTGACATGATCAGATTTGTATTTTGAAAAGATGACTCTGACTGCAATGAATTAGAGGGGGGGATAAGATCATATGTAGGAGATTAGGTAAGAGCTATTACAGTAGTTTGGAAGGAGGGGAAGATTTTGAGTTCAATTTTTGAAGACTTGTTTTTGAGGTATTGGACATCCAAGAGGAAATGTCAAAGAAGCAGTTGGATAATCAGAGCTGGACAGCAGAGAAGAGAGATGTAGACCTGCACTGCTCAATAGAAATATAATTTAAGTTTTCTAGGAGTCACATTTTAAAAAGTAGAAGGAAAGAGGTGAAATTAATTTTAATAGTATAGTTTATGTAACCCAATACATCCCAAATGTTATCATTTCAACATTTCATCAAAATAAAGAATTATTAATGAGATATTTTACATTCTTTTTTTCATACTATCTTCAAATTCTAGTGTGATTTTTAACTTAAAGCACATCTTGGGCCAGCCGTGGAGGCCTAGTGGTTAAGTTCAGTGTGCTCCACTTTGGTGGCTAGGGTTCGGTTCCTGTGTGCAGACCTACACCACTCGCACAGACCTACACCACTCGTCTGTCTGTAGCCGTGCTGTGGCAGGGGCTCAGATACAAAAAGAGGAAGATTGGCAATGGATGTTAGCTCAGGGCGAATCTTTCTCAGCCAAAAAAAAAAAAAAAAAAAAAAGCACATCTCAATTCAGACTAGTCACATTTCAAGCGCTCAATAGCCACATATGGCCAGCGGCTACCTTACTGGACAGCACAGGTCTAGACTAAAGATATGTCTCTGATGTCATTAGTGTATTGATGCCTTAGAAATGGATAAGATCATAGGAAGGGGGTAAAAAGTGAGAAGAGAAGAGGGCAAGGACCAAGTCCTGAGGAATTCTATCATTTAGGGGTTGAATAGTAAAGGAATTCCTCCTAAAGCATAGTGATAACATTATTTTACATAGTGCTTTGCACTGTATAAATCATCTCCATTTTTTCTTCCTACGAGTACTGTGAAGAATAAAAGATTATCTCATTTTATAGGTAACAAAATGAGGGTCTTTGAGGTTCTCTTGCACGAGGTATAGGTGAGGCTAGGACTAAAACCTAGTTTTCTGATGCAAAGACTAATGGTCTTTCCATTTGTCTGAGTTTTTCCAAATGACACATCCTAAGAACAGAAATTGAATGTTTATTTTAGAAATAACAGTTTATTTTAGAAAATGATCCCAAGGAAACAGGGAAGGAGGGCATTATGAGTAGATCACCACATTGAGCACCTGAGGCTTCATTCCACTAGGACCCTCTGAAGAACTGTGGAGAGAACATTTCAGAATCATCTGTCTTCGATCCCCTGGTTCTCATCCCCTGTTGGTCAAGGGTTGCCCCATCGGGTATTAACTCTCTGGCACTTCCAGGTTTGCACATGTGTCAGAGAGGCTATGTGAGTACCACGGGTGACCTACCAGGCAGCAGGAGAGAAGCCCCTGGACAGAAATAGAGAGATGAGAAGGTACAGCTAGGACTGGAGTAAAAGTTGGCCAAGAAGGCGTGAAGTGGCCACAAGAGGTATCTGAAGCATCATTGCACCTATTGTTTTTTGTGGAAGAGAGAGTCATTTGTACAAAGAGTTTCAATACAATAGAAACGTGTTAATACACAGATAGATACACAGCGCTATGGAAGCCCAGAAGAAGGAGTTGTGCCTGGTCACATGAAGACTTCACAGAGGAGGCGGCCTTGGGGCCAAGTAATAAGGAACACTAAGGATTTTGCCAGAAGGTGAGGTAGGACACGTTCCAGACAAAGGCCATACCATGTGTTGAAGAGTGGCAGCTTAAAATAGCAAGCAATTCCTGGGGAATCACCAGCAGTTCCAGTATGGCTGGAATATTGAATATGTGTGCAGGAAGGAGTGATGGGAGAGGGGACTCAAGTCTGAGCTTAGTATGCCTCGCTCAGGAGTGGGCATCTCATCCGTTAAACTGCAGTGGTGCTCAAGCCTGATTCCGTATTAGAAGCACCTGGGAAGCTTTTTAAAAACACTCATGTCTGGGCCTTACCCCAAAGTCAATGAAATCGGAATCTTTGGGGGTGAATCCCAGGAGTTGGGGTGTTTTAAAAGCTTCTCAGCTGATTCTAATGAGCAGTCATGATTGCAAACCACTGCTTTGAAGGGTTTTAGTCAGGGAAGTGATGCCTAGGTTTATGTTCCCAAGATTCCTCTTGTCTAGAGAGCAGATTAGAAGAGGAGAGA